TTTCATTTTATCAAATTAGCATCATTCACTAAGCAACTTTCTTATTATTTCTTCAATTGTCCGTCTTTTAGCATATTTTCTTCTAGATTCCTCTCGGTAGATTTTTTTTTCCTGATATATATCTTGAGTTTCAGCTTTCAAAGCAAGTTGTTTTTTTGTTCTTCTTCTCTTTGATCTGAAACAAAGTTTTGGGGTTTTTTTGTTGAAATCAAAGTTGAGGTATTTTTTTTGGGTTCAAAATCCATTACCCATCATAGAAAAATCCTTCCTTTTTTTTATCTTATGTTTCTTTTGAAATGTTGTTGGACTAAAAGCCTCAAATTCAATCACACAGCAAAAGTAAAATCAAATAATAAATTAAACATACAAGAAATAATAATTTAACGTGATTCAATTTAATCAATCTACATCTATGAATAAGAAACAATATTCACTAGTTGTAGAGAATTATAAACATATGTCAAATCATCAACCTCACTCAACAATCAATACTCATAAGACACTATCAATTTCTTCTAGTCTTATGAAGTATTCTCAATCCAAACATATATAAATCCAAACCCTTGTGCACCTTTTCAACATAACCAAACACATACCCATATGCTTCCATACATCATACTTATGTGGATCCTCTCAGTCTCCTCTAATCCACTCACAAATAAATATACACACCCATAAGACGTAGAGCCCCAATACTCTTATTGGGTGTCTATCCCATAAAACACTATAACTCTCTTACATCTTTTTCTCATACCTAATCCTGTAGAGACTTCACCTATTTATAATCATACAAACTTGTCTATTAAGAATCTCTTTCATCTTCGAATTCTTATCCTGTAAGTCAAACTTGCCTATTAAGAATCTTTTTCCATTTAGAATTTTTCTATTGCAAGTTAAACTTACATATTAAAAATCTTCTTTCTCTTAAAATTCTTCTTTTGCAAGTCTTTTTGTTCATCCAGCAATATCTAACAAATCTCAAACAAATCTCTTATGAGATTTGAGTCAATATTCCTAACAATCTCCACCTTAACTCAAATTCCATCAAATCATCTGTCTTCATGCTAGACATGCTTGACTCTACCTGTAATGAAAGTCTAACAATCATTTTCTCTTCTCTTGTGTCTTCACGCTTCATACAAACCAATCATCAATCTTCAAAACTTAAACTCAAACTCTTCTCTTAAATCGAGCTCTTCTGGACTTTTTTCTTTCCATGTCTCAAATTATGCATTTATCACATCTTAAACCTTTAGCTCTTCCCACATCTTAAATTTTCAGCTCTTCTCACATATTGAATTTTTAACTCTTCTCACGTTTTGAACCTTCAGCTCTGATACCACTTGTTGGGAAACACCACAGCTTTGATACTATTTATTGGGCTAAAAGCCTTCAATCCAATCATACCAGTGAAAGCAAAATCAAATAATAAATCAAACACACAAGAGACAATAATTTAACGTGGTTCGGTCCAATCAACCTACGTTCACGGATAAGAAACAAGATTCACTAGTTGTAGAGAATTTACAAACATACATCAAATATTCAACCTCACTTAACAATCAATACTCATAAGACACTCTCAATCTCCTCTAGTCCTATGGAGTATTCTTAACCCAAACAACTACAAACTCAAACCCTTGTGTACCCTTTCAATATAACCAAACACATACCCATGTGCTCCCATACATCATACCTATGTGGACCCTCTCAATCTCCTCTAGTTCACTCACAAATAAACATACACACCTATATGACGTAGGGTCCCAATACTCTTATGGGGTGTCTATCCCACAAAATCCTATAACTCTCTTACATCTTTTTCTCATACCTAACCCTGTAGAGACTTCACCTATTTATAACTATACAAATTTGCCCATTAAAAATCTCTCAAACTTCCCTATTAAGAATCTCTTTCCTTTTAGAATTATTCTATTTCAAGTTAAACTTACCTATTAAGAATCCTCTTTCTCTTAGAATTATTCTTTTGCAAGTCTTCTTGTCCATCCAGAAATATTTAATAAATTTCAAATAAATCTCTTACGGGACAAACAAATCTCTTATGGGACAAACAAATCTCTTATGGGATTTGAGTCAATATTCTCAACAATCTCCACCTTGACTCAAGTTTCATCAAATCATCTGTCTTCATGCTAGACATGCTTGGCTCTACCTACAATGAAAGTCTCACAATCATTTTTTCTTCTCTTGTGTCTTCACGCTTCATACAAATCAATCATCAATCTTCAAAACTTAAACTTGAACTCTTTTCTTAAATCGAGCTCTTCTGGACTTGCTTCTTTTCATGTCTCAAACCAAGCACTTCCCACATCTTAAACCTTTAGCTCTTTCCACATCTCAAATTTTTAGCTCTTCTCACATCTTGAATCTTTAACTCTTCTCACGTTTCGAACCTTCAACTTTGATACCACTTGTTGGGGAACACCACAACTCTGATACCATTTGTCGAGGAACACCACAGCTTTGATACCATTTATTGGGCTAAAAGCCTCCAATCCAATCACACCAGCAAAAGCAAAATCAAATAATAAATCAAACACACAAGAGATAACAATTTAATGTGGTTCGATCCAATCAACCTATGTTCACGCATGAGAAATAAGATTCACTAGTTGTAGAGAATTACAAACATATATCAAATCATCAACCTCACTCAACAATCAATACTCATAAGACACTTTCAATCTCCTCTAATCCTATGGAGTATTCTTAACCTAAACAAACACAAACCCAAACTCTTGTGCAGCCTTTCAACATAACCAAACACATACCTATATGCTCCCATACATCATACCTATGTTTCCTCTCAGTCTCCTCTAGTCCACTCACAAATAAGCATACACACCTATATGATGTAAAGCTCCAATACTCCTATGGGTGTCTATCCCACAAAACTCTAAAACTCTCTTACATTTTTTTTCTCATACCTAACCTTGTAGAGACTTTACCTATTTATAATCATACAAACTTGTCTATTAAGAATATCTCTCATCTTAGAATTCTTCTTTTATAAGCCAAACTTACCTATTAAGAATCTCTTTCCTTTTAAAATTTTTCTCTTGCAAGTCAGACTTACCTGTTAAGAATCCTCTTTATCTTAGAATTATTCTTTTGCAAGTCTTTTTGTCCATCCAGCAATATTTAATAAATCTCAAACAAATCTTTTATGAGATTTGAGTCAATATTCCCAAGAGCTGCTAGATTAATGTTCTTGAGATTGTCTGAAACAGTATCAAGATTTTTTTTTTTCTTAATTTCTCAAGGGTAGGCTTTTTCAACAACAACATCTTCATGCTCAATCTTTTGTATTTAATGTTTGAGATTTATGTCTCCAATTCTCAGAGAAATCTTTTTTCTGGGTTTATGATCAATTCCCTATTCATTCACAGGACCCATCTTGTTCAAATTTTCTCGATGGTTTTGCTCTATTGGTTGTATTATGTCTTATGATTTTGGCCTTAATTTCGACTACTTAGTGTATAATCTATAAATAAATTTTCTATTTTTACTATTTATCTGCATTATTTACATCATTAGGAGTATTTCTATTTTATTTTGGATATTGTTATTATAGTAACTAGCCCTCAACTTTAGAAACCCCAAGACAGACCCTAAGGCCCCAAATCTCCCAACTTTGAAAACCCCAAAAAACACTATCTTTTCGTGCTTACTATTTATTGTTGGATTTTTTTTTCCATTGATTTTGTTGTTGTATTAGACGTATTTTTGCTCCGTGTGATTGCTGGTTCTTGTGTTTCTGGGTTTGGGTTTGTGTTTTTGGGTTCGATTGCCGATGATTTTGAACATTATCTGTGTTGCTGAAAATTGGGCTTATTCCTCTGTTGATTGTTGTTTTCTATTGGTGGTTGAAATTGTTTGTTGTGTTTTGATTCTTAATTGCTATAGTAATTTGATTATTGTTCAATTTGGTGCCAACCGGCTAAATAAACAATGAAGAGATTAATTAATTAATAGGACATGGCAATAATTGATTGATCTGGCATCGTTAAAAAATAGTAAAATTGCTTCGTCGTCACTAAATAAATAGTTGTGATAGTTTTATTATGTTATATAGATATTTATGAAAAATGTTTTAATATATTAATTCATTTATATACAAATTAAAGATTAAAAATTTAGTTAGGTATAAATTAAAATATTATATATTTATGAAAAATGTTAATCTGCGACTCATAGCACTAGGTATAATTTTATTTTTTTAAAAAATGCAGTTAATTCATTGTTTTCTTTTAATTTAGTAAAACTAATGCATCAAATGGAATTTTTTTTCTTAATATATATATATATAATATATAGTAATTTAATTATCTTTATCTAGTGTCTATGAATACTTGTTAAGACTTTTAAATTATTTTATTTTTTCTTAAATAAATCTCTAAATATATTTTATTATATCTAAATAAGTTTTTATCCTTTGATTTGTATTTAAAACAATCTTTTATTTTAAATAAAAGATTAATTTATGTTAAGAATTTATTTAAAAACACATTAAAGATTAAGGACTTATTGAAATAAAAATTAAAAATTTATTTAGATATAAATTAAAAATTAAATAATTAATTGACTGTAATAAAACATAAAAATTTATCTAAATAACACTATATAATTCATGGGAGTAGTTTTTTTATTATCATTATTATTATTAGGAGTGGCGAATGTCAACGAAGTTCTATTTTTCATTCTCTCATTTTTTTGGTGCAAGTGAAAGCACACTAAACTTGGAAGTTACTCTTTTCCATTGGAAAAACATACTGCATCTCCTTCTCAAGTTCCAATTTAAGACCTTTAAGAAGAAATTAAAGAATCTTATAAACCATATCCACACTCTACTTATTTGGTCATTTAAGAATATGCATGTGAGTATATTTTAAAAAAAAAGAATATGCATATAAGTAATAATTTGAGTCCGGACAGAGGGCCTAACCTTTTTTTTGTTTTTTTTTTTTTTGCATTTTAAGGTAAGGCTCTTAAAGGAGGAATTCGGGTATGACGACGCATTCAACTACAACAAAGAAACTAATTTTGATGCTGCTTTGAGCAAGTAATTTATGTTTTACTTTTTCCTTAATAATTATTCTTAATTTACTAATCGAATATGTTTAATTAGAGTTCTCAGAAATTAATGGCATAATCAAACGTGCATTAAAGAATATAGAGTGATCTGAAGAAATCTCCTATTATACTGTTGAATGGATAGGTACTTCCCTGATGGTATTGACTTTTACCTTGACAATGTTGGTGGTAAGATGCTTGAGGCTGTCCTCAACCACGTTAACCTTCATGCAAGGATTCCAGTTTGCGGAATGATTTCTCAGTATAACCAGGTCTAAACCTACTCGTACTCCTCATTCTTACATACATGCATACATAGAGGCTTTCTACTGACCAATCAAAACTCTCATTCCATTGCATGCTGCAGACTTGGACTGAGAGAGAGGGTGTCAGAAATGTGCTAAATATTGTGGGTAAGGAGGTAAGAATGGAGGGGTATTTGGTGGGTTCCTATTTGGACAAATTTGCAGATTTTGCTACGGAGATGGAGAGCTATATAAAACAAGGCAAAATAAGTTCCAAGCTCAAAATCTATCGAGGAATTGAAAGCTTTGCGGATAGTATAGGATCCCTTTTCTCAAGCTCTAATATCGGGAAAGTCATAATTGAAGTTCGGCCCTAGCCAGATATATAGTACCAAATATGACCGTCATCAATTGTTTGTTAACGGAGGAGCAGAGATCCTAGCTAGCTAGCTAGCTAGCTAATTGGGTTTGAGCTGTGATGGCTCATCCTTTACCGATAAAAGATGGCAGTCATTACTTTATTATTGTTATCAATGTAATAACTAAGAACAATGATTAAAATAAGATTGTTGTAAGCAATAATAACTACGTGTTGTTGACATCTATTGCAAAACTAGAAAAATATTCATATTTGATGTACTAATGTTTAAGGTTTAAAATTTATTTTTTTAAAAAAATCGATTAATGAAATTTGATATGATACTTATAATGAAATTGATGATATTATAATTTTATCATCATTATTTGTGATTAATAAAAAGAAGAAAATTAAGAAAGGGCAAAAAAGAAGAAAAAAGAATTGAGTTGCATGTACTTCTCTTCTAATTATTGAGTTTGTTCAGATCTTCTTTCAAATTTAAAAAAAAAAAGGTTTCGAGTAACATGTTGAAAAAGGATTTTTCCTTGTAACAGTTGCCTCGCGTCCATCTCTAACATATGGGCCATTTAACCTTCGTTAGACCCCGATTTCTAAATATGTAAATAAATAAAGCTTTTGATAAATTGTTTATAATCATGCTCAGTTTTTATTCGTTTATATTTATTTATTAAATTTAATAAATAATTTTAAATAATATTTTTTATATTTATTTGTTAAATTAATCGAATATAAATAAAGATCTATTCGATTCATTTATGTGCGTGAACAAACTCGTGAACAAATTTAATTATTAACCTTTAACTTTTTTTATTAAGAGATTATTTAATGTATTTTTAATTAAAAACGCGTTGAATAATTTTCAAAAAATTTTTTGAAAGAGATTATTTAAGATTTTTTTGTCCAAAAAAAGTCTTAAATAATCCCTTTTCATTTTTTTAGGGTTATTCATGACATTTTTTTTTCTAAAAAATGTCTTGAATAACCCCTTAAACCCTAAATCATAAACCTTAAAAATTAAAAATTATTCAAGGTGTTTTTACTAAAAACACATTAAATAATCACGTCATAAAAATTGAAGTGGATTATTGAATGCGTTTTTGATCATAAACACCTTAAATAACCTCATTAAATTTTTTATAAAATATTATTTAAGGTATTTCTGGTTAAAAACACATTGAATAATTTCCTTTAATTTATTTATTGAGGGATTATTTAAGGCATTTTTGAACGCCTTGAATAATTCTTTCTAAAATTTTTTTGGAGATTATTCAATGCATTTTTCTCATAAAACCCTTTGAATAATTTCTTAAACCTTAAACTCTAAACCTTAAAACTTAAAGATTATTTAAGGTGTTTTTGACCATAAATACCTTGAATAAACCTATAAAAATTGAAGTGGATTATTTTTTGGCATTTTTAACCACAAATGTCTTGAATAACCCCATTAAATTTTTTGTAATTGATTATTTAAGGCGTTTCTGACAAAAAATGCTTTGAATAATCCCCTTCAATTTTTTACTAGGAGATTATTCAAGTTATTTTTGTTCAAGAAATGCCTTAAATAATCCTTTAAACCCTAAATCTTAAATCTTAAAAATTAGGGATTATTCTAAGACGTTATTGGCAAAAACGCTTTGAATAATCACATTATAAAAATTGAATTAGATTATTGAAGGTGTTTTTAGCTATAAACACATTGGATAACCTCACATCGATTACGAACAAAAACAAGAGGTGAATAAGGCTTACATGTTCCCATCCTCTTCCTCTGCTAAACTTCTATTACTATTCAAATGAATTTTACATCGCTTAAGAACCAAAACAAGATACGAGTAAAACATATAAATTCCCATAATCCACTGATCAATTGTTCAACAAAATTAGCAGTTAATTGTGAATATTGTGGTTTTTCGACAATAACAAGCTAAAAGTTTAAATTTGGAACTTAAAGCTAGAGTTCATTTGTATTCGCTAAAGCTCGTTGAAAATAAGTGAACCGAGCTTGTTTATTATTAATCGAATTGAGCTTGAACAAGAGGATACTCAGCTCGATTCAGTTCATTTATAGCTCTACCAATTTCAGCCTACTCCAGCTATTTTCTTTACAAATTCTTAATTTATTTTTCAAGTTTTTATCAACATTTAATTTTTGTTCAATATTTTGTCACATTTTTATTTAATTTAATGAATGAATAAGTAAAATTAAAATAAATTTATTATAAAATTAAATAAATACATGTATAAATATTTAACTAATTATTATGTTAGTGTGTGAGTAAAAAATATATAATTAATTAATCAGATGAAAATAAATAAATGCATAAAAAATTGTTTAAAAATATGTGCAATTATTATATTTAGTATCTTGGGTAAATTTTATGTAGAAATTTTATTATTTTTTATTGTTGATTTTCTATTAGGGATTATTACTTTATAAGGTGGTTATAAAATTTTTAAATTCAACAAAGATTGATTATATTATTTTTATATGTTCATTTAATAATTAATTATTATATTAAGTTATATATCTTAACGGGACATGTATTAATATGTTAATTTCATTAAAAAATTTGTGGGTGTATACAATATATAATTTTCTTTTCTACAAGCATCAATTTAAATATAATAAGGTTAAATATAAAAAATATCTTTAGATAATATATTTTTTATCAATTTAATATCTAAAAAAATAAAAATTATAATTAAATATTTAAAATTTTATTTCATCATATATTTTAATACTTTAAATTAGTGCTAGTAATTAACCTTGCTAACGTGACATATTTAATTGTGAATTTTATTTTTTAAAATAATTAAATTAATAAAAAATATATAATATATCGATTGTTTTTGTTTTAAATTCAAATAGATATGCAACAAAGTCGATTTTCTAAAAAAAAAAAAGTTTATACGTAAATAAATCAATTTTAAAAGCACTAATTATTATTCATTATTATTAGGACAAGAAAACCGCGAAATTCAACATGTGTTAAATAAAATAAAATTAAAAATTTTAAAAAAAATCTGTGACTTTATTTTATTCGAAGGGACATGAACAGTAACCTCTCATTACATTTGTGGATCCTCTTATCCGAGTCAGAGTCAGCCTCACAAGCAAAATGAAAATGCAATGAAAATTGCGAAGATGACAAAGGCAAACTGCGGCCAAGGGAGAGTCAAAGCTGGAAGACGCAGATTTTGCGATTGATGGTAATGGGTCTTACTCTTGCTAGGATTTCTTCCTCTTCTTTTTTTTTAATTGGCATTCCACTCTTAAGCTCTTCGCTGCTGAGCAGATGAATTTTGTGTTTGCTAATTCGGCAGGGCCCGATGATCATAAAAGGACTGTTCAGGAGATATCAAAGGTGGAACCCAGTGCATCCAACGTGCGGTGCGTTTTGGGGTATGGGACTAGGCATTGGATGTGGTGTTGGATGGGGTCCTGGGTTTGGCCCTGAGGTCATTGGTTATGTTGGAGCTGGCTGTGGGATTGGATTCAGTGTGGGTATAACGCTTGCTGGTATTGGCGTTGGTCTTCCTGCAAATTTTCTCTTTCAAGTTCCTTACAACGGTAGACTCTCTTCTTCTTCTGTCTATATCCTTTATCCTTTACATATAGCCTGTAGCAATCTTAACTTGTGTTGGTATATTTCGCTGCCAAATTGATAAATTGCTTCCGTTTTAGCTTTTCTAACAACCAGAACTGGGGTACTGGATGTTGCGCGCTCCAGCGTTCTCTTCTCTTCGCAAATTACACCTGGTCTTCGCTGGAATACTTTTGCACCCCACTTCTCTGTCCTTCATAGAGAAGCTACAGCAAGATTGTCAATCATGTTGCCTCTCCACACTATTTCTATTTGGGAAGGTGTAGAAAGATTTAAGCGTCGCTTTTTCCATCCTCGCAGAGGTATGCTAAAAAATTCATCTGTTGTGAAAAGGATAACCAAATTGTAGATATTTGTATAAAGGATCTCAACATGTAGCATATCCTTCTTCCCAATTGTTTATCATGTTTCTTGTAGCAATTGCTGTTGTTGTTTGTTGTATATTGTACTTCTTTTCTCTGTTAGACCACCTTTGCAAAGCTACTCTCTTTGAAATGATGCCACACTGTCTCCCTTGCGTATATCATTTACTCGCCAAAGTGTCAGTTTTTAACATCATTACAATTTTGTTTGCCATTTGCTGCCATCTAATTTATTTTTAAGTGTACATGGCTAACGGCAAAGTTACTACTTTGAATTTTATATTCACCAACACAAAGCTGGGCATTCCTGTTTAGGTGTGTTTTTGAAAAGTATGTCATCAAAGTTGTTGAAATATCTAGGAATAGAACAATACAAAGTTCTGCTGTTGTACACCATTTGAGTCACATCTCTGTCTCTCTCATTCCATGACTAATGCTATTGATTTGGTTGGTCCTCGGCTTTCTGTTTTACTTGAGCAATTAAATGGCATTTCTGAGTTGTAGATTTAAGAATGTCTCTTCAACATTTCGTACTTGCTTAACTCGTTAATTCTGCCCTAAATTCAAATTCCAGCATATCAAGCAACAAAGTAGCCACTAGCCATTAGAGTAGGTTTAATAGTTTTGAAACTGCAGTTAGAGAAATGATCAAAGATAGGTAATATTTATTTGGTTATGTTATTTAACTTCTCTGTTGCTATGTAGGTTGAATCTCTTTACAAGGGCAAGATAGTTTTCTTATGGTATGTTAGAAATCTGGAAAATTTTCCAGAAACTTTTAGCTTAAGAAAATTTGTTCTTTAGGGTGCAATAGAGAAAACACTATTCATTTGTAACTCAATGACTGGGATAATTTCAATCGATGTGTGTGTGTGTGTGTGTGTGTGAGAGAGAGAGAGAGAGAGAGAGAGAGCAAACACTAAGTCTTTGTTTCTGAATGACCTAGATAATTTCAATTTATGAATCAAATCATACCAAGACCAGAAGATTAGTTTTTTTATTATTTGACCATTCCTTATGTTGTAAGGGTTTTCACTTATGATTTTGGACACTGGTGTGATGTCATGCTCGGACAGGTTTGGTTTGGATTATCAAAAGGTAATTTCATAAGTTCCAGTTTTCTGGAATTTTGACTGCTGCATTGCTGTGTGTCTCACAGTTTGAGTAGGATTATAGATTACGTCTTGTATTATTTTAATTAGTGCAGAGTTCCAAAGGTTCTAAATTCTTTTGTTTTCCAATTAATTATCAAAGTCTCACAGTTTGTCAGCCGCCTACTTTTTCCCTTTATTTATGTATTACGTGACACAGCTGATATTAATGTAGACTTTCCAGTGACTTCTTTTAGCCATTAAGGTTTGTTTGTCTTCTTGCTAAGTATACTGGTTTAACCCTAGGTCTGATTTTGTAATTTTTTGTCTGAAATTTGGATTTTCTACCTATAAAACTGCATCTTAAATATAATGACTTAAGGACAAGATGCCATGTCTTTGCGATAGGTTCCAATGCCATTGGATGTGGTGAGATGAGATACAAGTAGTTAAGTTGTATCTCCTAGCTTTGGCTGTACAATGGAAGAGCTTAGTTAATTTTCCCCCTTCAAGCTTATGCTTGAAGTTCTTTTCTGTATAGAGTTATAAACTTCTGTTATCTAATGTAGAATTTTTTTTGGGTATATATGATATTAGGCTATAGAATTAGATTTAGCTCTCTGTCATCTCATAAATTCCACCCCTCTCATTCCTAAGGGACATCCAAGTTGGAATCACAAGTTGTAACTATTGGGATATTCGGTTGGGAACACCTACAAAGTAGATATACCATATTGGGAATGGCATAACTTCGGTAGTCCATGATAACATAAAAGAAAAACAGGTAACTCCTTGAAAAAATCCTATTTGGATTGGCTTTCACTTGTTTGGTTGGGAATTTTATACTGATTGTCTAATTCTCGGTTGTCTAGGTTAACGACTTACTGCTAAGTTGACTTTTTTATTGAGATCTTCATGAGGATAATAGATTAAAATATCTACAGATATGTGGTGGCTTAAGCACATATAATTTGCTTGTAACATATCATGTAATAGGATGAGATAAAGCTTGTATCTTCCTGTGCATTCAATATAATATTTTTTGATCCATCCATCCATATGCATACTTATAATAATACTTAATTGGGTTTCCTTCTGTAGTTTGTCTAACCCCAAAAATAATGAATTGAGTATCTTTATGATATATGTGTTGTGACATTGATGTTTATTTGAAGTGGTTGAAACATCAACACTCTGAACCAAACTATTGGCTGTGTCACTTAGAATAGAAATGTCAAATTTTGTAAGAAACGTCATTTTCATATAAATACCAATATTCCTGAATTATATACATGTTTTTTTCTTTTATCAAACTGGTTCAGATGTCAAACGATCTGATTTAGCAGAATTTACTTGTTTTTGTCTATGGAATTAGCAGGTTTTATCAGATTATAAAGTAAAACCCGCAATTATATTTACTGTACCTTGTTTTCCATATAGAATGTAAATTTCATTTAAGATTCCTTTATATAATTCTTATCACAATTACCTTGACAGGAGCAGGTAACAAATTAATATCCTCAGAAAATGATGATGAAGGGTGAGTAGTTCATATCGATCATCAGTTGAGAGTGGAGTTGCAGCATGTATGAAGGTCCATTCTACCACCAGTGGAGAACCTTTAGTGCAATTCATACTCACACTGCTTTCTTATATATAGAAAATCAAAAGACCCATGAGCTAAGTGCAAAGGCAATGTATAGGTGGTTGCAGTTAACCGACTTTTTTGTTTGTTACACTTAGTTACTGTTACATCACATTTTAGCATGGCAGATAGTTCAAGGTTATGTATTTTAAGTGTTGATTTTGTTGAGTAAATTCGGCTTAAATATTTGGAAGTTTGTAGAAAATATCTTTCAACATTTGATAAAATTTCTTAAACACATACAATTGGTAAGATTTAATTTTTTTTAAAAAAATAATCAATTTTCAAACTCTTAAAATTCTCAAATATATTGGTAAGACATTTATAAATTTAATGGTCCAAAATTCATTTGTTTAAATTCATATAATCTTTTAATATTTTAATAAGATTTTTATTAAATTAATTTATAAAAAATTATTATTTTTAAACTCATATAATCATATATCATATATAATATTATATTAAAATATACATAGAAAATTGATAAGATTTATATATGTGGATGTTTAAGTGGATAGTTTTTTTAGAAGACACATAGGATAGTAATAAATAATTATATTATATATTATTAAAACAGTCAAATATAAAAATCTTTTAACTTAAATCATTAAATAATAATAAATATTCAAATATTAATTTGAAAATGAATAAAAGGATATATGATTATTTATTTTATTTAGTATTATTCAAATCCATTTAAAATATTTAAATCTGTTTAAATAGATAAGACTTTGGTTTAGATACATTTGGTTTTAGATTTAATTTAAATCTAAATGGAGAATCAATTTAGATTTAAAATAAATAGATAAAATTATATATTTAAAATAAAGAGTAAATTGTAATATAAATTTGAAACTTTAAAAGTCAATATTATTTAATTCAAATTTGATTAGTTAAGTAGATATATTTCTATTTTAAAATTTAAATTCTCAAAATTGGATAATTTTATCTTCATAAAATTTCTTATATATATTTTTTAAAACTTTTTAAAATTTTAAAAAATAAATATTACTTATTATATTTTTAAACATTTGAAAAAAATTAAATGTTTTATAATCAAAATTATCTATGCACTTTTAATTGTTATGTAATAAACCTATATAAACCTACAAAACCTATAAATGAAATGTGTTGCATAATTATTATTTTTTTGGATTTACAACTTTTTTTTGAAAGGTATACGGTTATTTTTATAAAAAACTAATATTAATTTTAATTCATTTTTCTTTTAATCTCAAGTTTAAGTTTGATTGTTCTATATAAGGTTGTCAAAGAAAGATTCGTGCTTCCACCACCTATTTTGAATATATTCTTTTGGCTTTATTCATTGTTTCTTACAATTTAACTTTTAAATGATTGAAAACAGTCTTTCTTTCATTGTTTCTTTGAAAAGAAAGCTTTGTTTTCTTTCCTTGTTTGAATTTGAAAATGGATGGTTATGATTATTGAATTAAATGAATTTGCTACTTTTATTTTGAATATCCTACCTTTGGTTTTTGTTGATGTTAGATCTTCTTACATATTATAAAATTGAGTTTGTTTCCGGTTGTGATAATTCTATTGTTGAATTGCTTGAAATCTTTTTAATTGTTTTTTTGGGTGTTTGTTAATTATATATCATATATAATATTATATTATAAAATATAAAAATATCCAATAAATATTGTTTACATGGACGTTGTATGGATAGTTTTGCTATTTGATACATAAAAAATTACTTAAAAAAATTTGCTTACGTGAATATTTACATTGATAACTTTTAAATTGTTAACAACAAAATTTAATTTAAATATATTATCTTTTTAAGTTAAATGAATTTTTTAATAATCTAGAAATATATTTTTAAAATTTAAGATTTTCAAAAGTAATAATACATTTTTTTTTAAGTTTTATTTTTGTTGACATATAAGAAATTACTCAATAAATATGCTTTTTTTATATCCTATGTAAATTTTTAAATTGTTGGTAACAAAATTTAATTTAAATATTTTGTATTTCTAAATAAATTTCATAATAATCTTGATATATTTTTAAATTTAAAAATTTCAAATGTAATGATATATTATCTTTTAAAACATATATTTTTAATAATCTTATATATATTACAATGTATGCTATCAGATAAACATGTAGATGTGAATGTCTATATGTATAACTTATTTTTATGACATGTAGGATATATTTCAAGTTCAAATAAAAAGTTAATACTTATTTTTAAAGTTTAAAAAGTCTAAAATAGACATCTAATCTAACACACATTACGATTACAAATCAATCTACAAATAATTTTTTTTTAAATTTAAAATTTTCAAATATAAATTTATTTTCATAAATTTCCTTATAATTATCTTTTATTATTTTTTTTTAAAAATTAAAACACACACATATCTATTTTATATTACTTTTAAATTCAAAAAATAGTTAATAATTCTAAAGTCATCTATGCCTCATATTTATCATTCAAAATTCCTATATATAGATCGTGTATCCTTCGTCAAATTTTTTTTTTAATTTTGCAACTTTTCTTTTAAATTTATATTACTATTGTGATTTGATTCTTAAAGGATCATATTTTTTCAATTTATTGTTTTATTTTGACATGCATCTGCCAAATATTTACATGTTTTATTCAATAATTTAATCAAGATCTCGAAAGTATGTAAATACTTTTATGAATATATATATTTTAAATAATGTACTTTGTTCTTCTTAGAATGTATGTTAATTTTTTTTTTTGTACTTCTTCTTATCTTTTAAATTTTTTTAGCATTTCGATTAAGATTATAATAGTAACGATATGTCAAATAATTTTTTATAATTTAATTACCTTTTTTATTCAAAATTTTTGAAAAAAAAAAAAAGCACAAGAAATGACTTTTCAAAAACTCCAATGGTAATATGGTCCACAAGTAAGCATACTGTATGATAAAATCCAAAGCAAATTCAATTCAATTCAATTCATCATCTTTTTATTTTACTTATTTGTTATGATATTTACAATAATAAAAATAAACTTAAATCTAATTTGTGGTTATATAGATATATTTAAATAAAATAAAATTAATCTGTGCATCGCAAAAGTTATAATCTAATCTTTAAATATTTTGATAAGAATTTTACGAATTAAAATTTTCAAAAACTATTATATATATTTTTAAAAAATCATATAATTCTTCAATATTTTGATAAACTTTTATAAATTTTATTTTCAAATTATTATTTAAAGAAATAACTTTTCATTTTATGTTTTATAAAAAATTTATTAATTAAATAACTAAATAATAAACAAACAAAGAAACAAAACAAACAAATAAATATAAAAATATAAAAAATAGAAAATACCAAAAATTGACTTAGTGAATGGATGATCAATGGCTCAATCAGTTCGGTTAATAGCTTGGTTTAGTGAAAAGCGACTTGGTTCACAGTTGGATGGCTTGGTGACTGGAAATCAACTTGGCAGAAAACAGGTCTTGGGTCAACAACGATAGGGTCGGGTTGAAAAGTTATAAAACGCACAGATCCCCTTTCTTAAAAACGGCATTGTTCGATCTTAACTATTTAAATTCAATTTTTCTTTTTTCTTTTAGATTTCACTTATTATCTCTATTTAAGAACTTCTTTTCTCCAACTTTTCTCTAAAATTCTAGTTTCAGTGGCTGAAAACTTAAACTACCGGTAGAAAGTTCAACTTTCACTTGAGAATTTGTCAAAAAATTCAAAATCTGTCGAAAAATTTAAGAAAATTTTTTAAAGATTCTAAAAAATCCAAAAAATATCTTAAATAGAAAATTTTTATGCCTCTTGAACTCCCTTAACAACTCTATTTCTCCAAAATCAAGTAAAAAAAG